AGCAGGGAGCCCGATGTGGGACTTGATCCCAGGACTCCAGGATCATGACCTGAGCCGAAGGCAGTCGCTTAACCAACTGAGCCACTCAGGTGCCCACTACACTATATTAATTATAATTGTTTTATAGTAAGTTTTGAAATTGTGAAGTGTGAATCTTCCTATTTTGTTTTTTATTTTGAAGGCTATTTTGGCTATTCCTGTTTATACAAATTTTAGAATGAGCTTGTCAGTTTCTAGAAAAAAGTCAGCTGGGATTCTGACAGGGATTGCATTGTACTGGTAGATCAGTTTGGGGACTATTGCCATCTTACTGTTAGATTGTTTTCTTTATTTTCAGGTCATTCATTACAAGTGAGTAGAAATACAATTGATTTTTTTATATTGTTCTTGTATTTTTCAATCTTTCTTTACTCTTTTACTGGTTCTAATAGTTTTTTGGTGGATTCCATAGATTTTCTATATATAAGATAATGTCATCTCCAAAGAGAGATAGTTTTACTTCTTTCTTTTCAATCTTGATGCCTTTTATTTCTCTTGATTACTTGCTCCGGCTAGAATCTTCATTACAATATTGAATAGAAGTAGCAAGAGTGGATTTCCTTTCTTGTTTCTGATCTTAGGAAAGCATTCAGTCTTTCACCATTTAGTATAATGTTAACCTGTGGGTATTTTGTAGATAGTTGAGGATGTTCCATTTTTTAAGGGTCTTTTAAAATAGATTTTACTTTTTAGAGCCATTTTATTGTTTTCCTGAGATACTTATTTAAGAGAGAATATGAGAGAGAGAGAGAGAGAATGCATGAACCCGGGGCAGGGCAGAGAAGCAGACTCCCTGCTGAGAAGGGAGCCCAATGCGGGACTTGATCCCAGGACTCTGGGATCATGACCTGAGCCGAAGGCAGACAGTTAACCAACTGAGTCACCCAGGCGCCCTGGAGCAGTTCTAGGTTCAATGTTTATAAGCATCTGTGTGCAGGTTTTTGAGTGGATTTAGTTTTCATCTTATTTGGGTAATTATCAAGGAGTGTGATTGCTGGATCATATGGTAAGAGAATGGTTAATTTTGTAAGAAACTGCCCAGGGGCGCCTGTGTGGCTCAGTCGTTAAGTGTCTGCATTCCTCTCTGTTTCTCTCTCTCTTTGTCAAATAAATAAATAAAATCTTAAAAAAAAAAAAAAAAAGAAACTGCCCAAATGTCTTCCGAAGTGGTTGTACCGTTTCCATTCCCAACAGCAATTGAATGAGACTTCTTTCTGTTGCTTTACATCCTCACCAGCATTTGGTGTTGTCAGTGTTCTGCATTTATCCATTGACTGTGTAGTATTATCTGATTGTTTTAATTTCCAATTCCATCATGACATACGATGTGGAGCATTTTTTCATATGCTTATTTGTCACCTGTATATCTTTGGTAAGATATTTTCAGATCTTTTGCCCATTTTTTCTTTTTTTTAATTTAATTTTTATTTTTTTAAGGATCTTTATTTATTTGACGGAGAGAGACACAGTGAGAGAGGGAACACAAGCAGGGGGAGTGGGAGAGGGAGAAGCAGGTTTCGCGCCAAGCAGGGAACCCGACGTGGGGCTCGATCCCAGGAACCTGGGACCATGACCTGAGCCAAAGGCAGACACTTAACGACTGAGCCACCTAGGCACTACTTTTTGCCCGTTTCTAATCATGTTGTTTATTATTATTGAGTTCTTTGTATCTTTGATTTTTATTATTATTTTTTTTTAATATTTATTAGAGAGAGAGAGCACAAGTAGGGGGAGCAGCAGGCAGAGGGAGAGGGAGAAGCAGTCTCCTCATGCGGGGCTTGATCCCAGGACTCTGGGACCATGACCTGAGCCAAAGGCAGATGCTTAAGCGACTGAGCCACCCAGGTGTGGCTTTTAGATAATAGTTCTTTATCAGATACGGATTTCGGCAGATATTTTTTCCAGTCTGTGGGAGAAAGACTTGTCTTCTGTTGAAGTTTGCTAGTATTTTGTTGAGGAGTATTCTGTCTATATTTGTGATAGTGTTCTGTAGATTTCTCTTTTTTTGGTACCTTTACTGGTTTTGGTATGATACTGGTCTCATAAACATTAATTAGGAAGTATTGCTACTTTTTATATTGGAAGAGTTTGTGAAGACTCTTTTTGAATGTGTGGTATATTTCAGTGGTGAAGCCATCTGGACCTTTGCTTTTTTTTGTGGGTAGTTTTTTGATTACTAATTCAATCTCTTCAGTTATAGGTCTATTCACATTGTATAGATATATTTTTAGCCAGTTTTGTTAGTTTGTGTGTGTTTAGGAATTTGTCCATATTTTGTTATCTAATATTTTGGCATACAATTGTTCATAGTATTCCTTTATAATCTGTTTATTTCTTTAAGGTAGATAGTAATGTCCCCTTTTTAAATTCTGATTCTGGTAATTTGAGTCTTGCTCTTTTGTTCTTGGTCAGTCTAGTGTAAGGTTGGTCAATTTCATTCATCTTTCCGAAGAACTTTTGATTTCAGTGATTTTTCTTTATTTTTCTATTCTGTTTCATTAAATTTAGCTCTAATCTTTATTTTTTCTTTCCCTCTGCTTTCTTTAGGTTTAGTTTGCTGTTATTTTTCCAATGTCTTAGGTGAAGGGAAATAATATTTATTAATAGTATGATTGTATTGTTAGTAAAAGATGGAGGTTAAATTTTCTTTTAAGAGAAAATACCTTAGAAAATTGCAGTAGGAAATGTTTTGATACCAAACTGCTATTTTTAGAAACTTAGTGCTTTTATTTATTTTTATTTATTTTTAAGGATTTTATTTGTTTATTTGTCAGAGAGCACAAGTTTATTTGTCAGTGGCAGGCAGAGGGAGAAGCAGGCTCCTCGCCGAGCAAGGAGCCCGATGCTGGACTCGTTCCCAGGACCCTGGGATCATGACCTGAGGTGAAGGCAGATGCTTAACCGATGGAGCCACCCAGGCATCCCTAGAAACTTAGTGCTTTTAAAGAAGGGGTTAATGTGTCAAGGCAGTGATTATAGTGAGAAAATTCTTCTAGGAATATTTTAATGTGAGTAATGTATTACCAGTACTGTTATACTTCATAGATTGAAAAATGGGTTCATGTAGTTGTACTTTTGGTGTTCTGTTTGATAATGCTTTGAAGAGATAAAGTTTTTATTTCTTCTCTTTTAAGAAAAAGTCAGTGGTTCTGGAAATAACTCAGATATGATGGAAAACAGCAAGGAAGAGGTAAGACTAATTTGAAGCATTTAAAAGATACTTATTAATTGTTAATAACCAACTAGAGTATATGTTATCAGATTGCTTCTGTTTTTTTTTTTTTAAAAGATTTATTTATTTATTTTAGAGCGAGCATAGTGGGGAGGGGCAGAGGGAGAGGGAAACTCACGCAGACTCCACACTAAGCGTGGAGCCCAATGCGGGGCTCGATCTCATGACCCTGAAAGCATGACCTGAGCTGAAACCAGGAGTTGGACACTCAACCGACTGTGCCACCCAGGCACCCCAGATTGCTTCTTTTTAATACATGCATGTGTTTAAGTTTACTGTTATGTATTATGATACTTCATTTTGGGTAGTTGTTTATTTTTAGAAGGTGTTCATTGTTTTTATTATTGTGTGGTTCACTTTAGCAGTATACCTAAAGTCAGACAACTGAAGACTTGCTAACAGATAGGTAGTTGGACATTATTATATTGCAGTAGTGGTGCTCAGGGTGGTTGTTATGGGCATGACTCCATGGTTCTGACATCTCTCAAAACTGGATAGAGTATCTTAAGCATTATTATAGGAATCCATCCTGATATCCTTCACTCATGATACCCAAGCTTATGCTATAGTTTTGGAATTCTTTCCATCTAGTATAGAAATTTCAATCCAAAAAAATATATTGATTATATTGGCAAAATGAGAATAAATTTAGTATCTCAAAGCAAATTGTAGAAGATACTTTGTGCCATATGTTAGGATAGAAAAAATGACACATTTTTTAGATCCTCAAAACTCCCTACATCCACTGGGATCTGATTACTTCTGTACCTTTGTTTCGTCTTGTTGACTTGGGTCAAGATCATGATAGAGTAGTGCATCCTCACCTACACCACACAATTCAGTAGAAACAATTTAATTAAAAAAAAACCCAGGAAATTAATCTTAAATCAAGGAAACCTGAGAATAAATGCGAATTAGTTTTTGAAGTTCCTTTTAAAAAATATTTTAGACAAAAAAGTAATATCCCATTATGTTACTGTATCAGAGATCTTGGTATAGGGAAATAGTTAATTGTAGGGATGTTCTTTGAAAGTTGTATTCACTTTTTTATTTATTTCTCACATTTAGGGAGCTAGCTCTTCAGAAAAATCCAAATCGTCAGGATCATCACGATCAAAAAGGTTGGTTGATATTGAAGGGAAAACATTTTCAGATTATTTTCTTTTTCTAAGAATAATAATCTTTTCTAAACTTCAAGCACCCTTGTTCTAACTGAATAAACTGTTTTATACAAACATACACATTAAAAACTGGACAGTATAGTATAATGAATTCTCTTGTATCCATCAATTAATTTCAACAATTATTGAATTTTACTGGAATTTTCCAAGGAGGATTTATTATGCCTTAGTGGCCCTTACAATATATAGATCGTTTCTTTTAGATCATATATGTGCTCAAAAAGAGGACAGAGGGAAAATGAAATGAATGCCTCATGAAGCCTAAAAAACCTCATGGGTTTTTTAGGATTATGTCAAATTGTCCAGAATGATGGGGAGGGGTAGCCATTATACTTATGAGGAAGTTATAATGAGATCAAAAAGTGGTAAAAATACTTTTCTGTGTTAAATTGTCAAAACGAATTGTACATACAAGGACTGAAACTACTTCTAATCATACTATAAAGTGTAATACTTTATTAGAAGTTTGCAGTTATTGGGCATTTGTGTGTGTGTATGTGTGTGTGTGTGTGTTAAGAAGGCTCCACGCCAACGTGGAGCTTGAACTCACAACCTGAGATCAAGAGTCAGATGCTTTATCGATTGAGCCAGCCAGGTGTCCTGGGCATTTGTTGTTTCTTACCAGTGGGAATGTCTCTTAATAAAAACACAGTTTAACTTATTCTCTAAAGTGGTGATTCTTAAAGAGGAGATCCCTTTATGATCTTCCCCGGTAGCTTTTTCAGAGTGAACATATCCTGGGCCTACCCCAGGCCTACTGAATCATAATTTTCAGTAATACGGTACAGAGATTTGTGCTTCCGTAGGTGAGTCTGATGTGTATCTCTGGTTAAGAGCCACCATTCAATTTAAACATGTTCTTTGGTTATTATTCCAATTGTCAGAAATGTCCATAATTCTATGGACTTAATTCTTTCATAGGAAACCTTCAATTGTAACAAAGTATGTTGAATCTGATGATGAAAAACCTTTGGATGAAACTGTAAATGAAGATACTTCTAATGAAAATTCAGAAAATGATATTACTATGCAAAGCTTGCCAAAAGGTAATGTGTATTAATTTTTCATATGAAGTTGAAGTTGAAATGTATTTTTAAATGTCATTATAAAATTGGAACTTGATTACTGTTAGCTGTGTGTAAAGGAACAAAACTAGCATTTTAATAGTGGTTGTCTGGAAATGTATTAGAATGGTAATGAAAATGTGTGTTACTGAGGTTAAAAACTTAGAATATTTGCAGTCAGCTTTGAAAAAGAACAAAACTTATTTTCTCTTTCTCTTGGGTTTTAGAAAAGGGATTTTAGTTTGTAAATTGTATTTGAGTGTGGAAGTTAGTTTAAATGTTTATATGAAGTTTTGGTTCAGCAAATTTAAACATGCTTGCTTTATAGGAAAACATGAATATTCTTAAAACTTTAAAAAAACATTTAAAAATCTGGTTAATCTTACTTCATTCTTCAATTCTCTAAGACTAAAAGCTGAAGTTAATTATCAAAGATAGATTTAGTTGTATTTCTTGTAATTATCTCTTTAAAATGCCTTGTCACATGCCTTTCAACTGTTGCAGTTCTAACCTTAAAACCTCATTAATTAGATTGGGGGAAAAAAGCCAAATGAAAATCTTGGACGTTTCATAGCCCAAGTCTGAGAGCAGTATGATTATATGATAAGAGTAATGACAAAGGTCTTGGTAATTTCATGGTGTTTCAGAGTCAAAACTTGAGATTTTTTCTTTATTAATAATATATGGAAATATCTTAGCAGATTTTTCAAATTTATCCTCACAGATCATTTATAGCAGTGTTTACTAAACTTTGTTCTCTGTCTACATTTATATTTTCGTGACACATTTTTTGATTATGAAAGTTTAAAAAAATGGTGGGAAGGAGCCTAAGACATTGCTTGACTAGGACAGATTAGGAGTTACAGTAGATGAAATATGTAATGAGGAAAAGGAATGAATGAGAGAAAGCAGAAAGAAGGAAAATTGATGGGCCTACCATTTATTTGGCTTTGCAAATCATCTGTGATAATTTTATGTAATGGTTGGTGGCCGAGGGCAGAAACAGCTACTGAGGGAGTGTGAGTCCCATAGGCAGTGACTCACTTTAGATTGTAACATTCTCAGTGGTTGTCACTGGAGGTCCTTATGATGGTCACTGGGTGAGCTCAGAAATAGGAATTCAAATCTTTCTTTTAATGATACTGTGGAAAAACGTTAGTATGGGATGTTTCTAACCTGAATTAATCATAATTCTCTCCCACCAAACCAAAAATAGACCCATTTCATAAGGTAGAATTTGAGTGATAATTATTATTATAATACTATATTGAGTATATATAGTTACCAGACTCTTACAAAACTAACTCATTTAATCCTCAAACCAATACTGTAAGGTAGTTACTGTTTCTACTTGTAGAAATAAAGGAACAAATTCAGAGCTCAAGGAACTTTTTCAGGCTTTAAATTGAGAAACTTAGATCTGCTTGAATCCAAAGCTAGTGAGTGCTTTCTCCACTCTACTGCTTTGCTTCCATTTAGAGAAGAATCTTCAGAAATAATTTTGTTTTTTCGTTAATTATAAATCTTGAGGTTTTTCAAATGCTTTGGCTTCTCTGAGAGTATATATGTGAAATGGTTGTTGTAAATAAATTTTTTTTGTGTGTGTAGATTATTTAAATTTGCCAGTTTGTAAAAACTCAATCCTCTATGCCTGCTTTCCCCTCCTTTTTTTTCAGAGACTCAGAAACACATATAACTAGATGCTATACCTTGCCAAAATCTGCTTGCTGAATAACATAGGCCCATGTTTCAGGGAGGCCGCCCCTGACAACTTACCAGGTTTTACTTTCTTAAATGTTGCCAAAATGCCCAATTACTAAGCCCAGCAATGTAGGTAAATGTGAGACCTGGACCCTTTTTACTATGCTGCTGCTTTATTTGCTCTTGAGAGATTATAATGAAAACTTAAATTAACAACCTGTCTTCTCAGTTCACATGTTCTTTAAGAAAGTACATTCTTTCTAAAATATTTCCCTAGAGACCAATAATTGATCTCATTCTACAGTTTATTGTTAGAGCAGTTGAGCTTAAATATCTTAAGTCAATCTTCTGTTTTAAGACTCTTTAAGGACTTTTCAGGGTGCTAAATGTTTGATACACTAGTTGGGAAATGCCTCAGAATAGGTATAGCAGTAATAGCAGAATTAACTTCTCACATTGCCTCCCACTATCCTCCCCCAAAACAATATAAAAAAACCCTTACAATTTTTTTCTGAGTTTGTGATTTGGATTATGAGAAGAATAGGATATCTTTTTAAAATTTTCCTTCTGGTCCTTCTTTTTATAAACTTTATTGGAGCTTAGCATGGGTGTTTCTACTCAAAACAGTTTTTGTGATAGGCAGTATAAAAATTCAGAACTGGGCTGAGGCTTTCTACTTTATTCACACATTTCTGTTATAATCAGTTTATAATACCCACACCCTACTTTTATTAATTATATTCCAACAAGTAATCTTATTGCTGATGCCTGGCCCTTTTACTATTTCCCTGTTTTATTTACTCTTGAAGAGGTCCTTATACAAGTATTGAAAGCTTGAAAGAAACAAAATTATGTACCAGCAATGTTGGCTTTATCTGAACTGAAGTCTTGTACTTCATTTGCACATTTAATATGTGTAATGGTTTTTTAAATGAAATCATTCTAGGTACAGTGATTGTACAACCAGAGCCAGTGCTGAATGAAGACAAAGATGATTTTAAAGGGCCTGAATTTAGAAGCAGAAGTAAAATGAAAACTGAAAATCTCAAAAAACGCGGAGGTAAATACAAGTGAAAATGAAAACATGAGTTTAAATTGCTGTTTATGACCATATTGGAAAATCTGATGTGCTTATTAAAAATACCTCCACTTTTCTGCCCATTGTTTATTAAAAGCACTACTTAAAAATAACTTCTGTTTCTCTCTGAGCTCTGAAGCAGAAAAGGTTAAACATTTATCAAAATACCTTTGCCTTCAGTGGCTATAAAGTTATTTCAAGAAGCTTAGCATTCCCTTCTTGAATATTAGTTCTGTAATGCCTATATGCCAAAATACCATGTGTTCCCTCTCATCCCGAAAGAATTTCAGATTTGGACAAAACCTTGCCTGTGGCCTTGGGTAACTTTATATATATATAATATATTGTATCATAGAGTTACCTGTGCCTTAGTATTATTTGGGGTGCTTGTTAAAAATTCAAGTCCCTTAACTCCACTAACAAATTAGAATTTCTGGGGATGATGTTAAGAATGAGCCCCATTTTGTTCTTTTGTATATTAAAGTTGGAGATCTGCTGTAAGGATAATAATGTAGAGATGAGTAGGAAGGAGAAGGGAGCTAGAGCTAGTAACCTTCCTTCCACCTGTCTGAGCCGTCTCTTCCTTTGTCTGTCTACCCCCACTTATACACACACCATGTTGGCTAATCATCTGTAAAAAGTTAGCTTAAGGAGGATTCATTTAGAAATTTATGACAATGGAGTATGTTTCCCATTTGCTTGTGTGTGATTTTTAAATAGTGCCTGTGTATTTTTTGGGCAGATTTACAGAGCCATGATCCATGACCATAAAGGGAACGAATCTCTAAAAAATAGAACAAGACACCAAATTTCCAAGTAGAAGTGTAATGGAAGCATGTCTGTTTAATATTTATCATGTTACTTGTGAAATTATAGCATAGTACTTATATTGGTGAAATTTGTGCAGATTTTTGTTTCAGTGCTATATGATTATCTTGATGGAATTAGTAAAATATATCTGTATTTGTTATATATATTTTCGTATTAAATAACTCAGGTTGTTGGAGAAAATCAAAGAAATGTTGTTTCGTCTGTTGTCCACAAGGGGGTGTTCTGCTCCTTTCAAGCATACGGAAGATTTATGGAGAATGTAGTTCATAGTGGGGAAGTTGCCATTGCAGCAACAGAGCTCACCAAAGCTGAATAGTTTTCTTAAAACAAGAGAATCAGCAAGTAGAAGGTGACCGTAGGGATCAGTAACAAGAGTCTGGAGAAAGATAACTAAGTGTACTGCATTGTATCAAAATTAATATCTAAATGGTGTCTTTGGGGAGGGACTCTGGTGCAGTCAGTGTCTAGAATGTGTATAAGGGCCAAAAGGAGAATGAAAAAAGAACCACAGTTGTTGGGGAATGTGTTCTTAGTGCCACTTCACTATGCTGCTGGTATTTGGTCTGAGCTGATATATTTGGAACATTTATTGAGTGTTCTGTGTAAGAATGTTTATATTATGCTTAATGAAATATGTATGTTTATAGCCATATAGTAGCACCTAAATCTCTCATGGTAATTTTTGTTTTAATGATTTGCTACATCTTTAAACTGTCAGAAATCACACAGGAAATTTAACTGTTTACTTATATATGCATGTATGAATAAACTAGTGATCTGAGGTACTGAATTGCTAGTTAATAATCAAACTTCCTAGGAAAGTTAGTTCTATAATTGAAGCCTAATTTAGGAAACTATCAAGAAGGTGAACTGTGTATATTGATTTGAAACAAAATTAAAGATACCGCTATATCCACCATTTCAGGAGCCACTTTTTAAAAAACACCATAGCCTATTGACAACCTTTTCCCCAGTTTGTTAGAAAGTATACTTTACACCTAATTTTTCTATCTGGCACAATAATTTTATTTTAAATTCCAGTATAGTTAGCATACTGTGTTATATTAGTTTTAAGTGTACAATATAGTGATTCAACAATTCCATACATCACACAGTGCTTATCATGACACGTGTACTTCTTAATTCCCATTGCCTGTTTTACCCATCCCCATACCCACCTCCCCTCTGGTAACCATCAGTTTTGTTCGCTATAGTTAAGAGTCTGTTTCTTGGTTTATCTCTGTCTCTTTTTTTCTTTTGCTCGTTTTTTTCCCTTAAATTCCACATATGAGTGAAATTACATGGTATTTGTTTTTCTCTGACTTATTTAGCATTATACCCTGTAGTTCTAGCCGTGTTGTTGCAAATGGCAAGATTTCATTCTTTTTTATGGCTGAATAATATTCCATTGTGTATATATACCATATCTTCTTTATCCATTCATCTATCAATGGATACTTGGGCTGCTTACATAATTTGGCTATTGTAAATAATGCTTCTCTAAATATGTGCATGTGTCCCTTTGAATTAGTGTTTTTGTATTTTGGGGGTAAATACCCAGTAGTACAATTACTGGATCCTAGGATAGTTCTATTTTTAACTTTTTGAGGAACTTCCATATTGTTTTCCAGAGTGGCTGCACCAGTTGACATTCCCACCAACAGTGCAAGAGGGTTCCTTTTTCTCCATATCTTTGTCAATACTTGTTTTTCTTGTGTTTTTGATTTTAGCCATTCTGACAGGCGTGAGGTGATATCTCATATTTATAATTTGCATTTCCCTGATAATGAGTGATATTGAGCGTCTTTTCATGTGTCTGTTGGCCATCTGGATGTCTTCTTTGGAGAAATGTCTGCTCATGTCCTCTGCCCATTTTTTAATTGGATTATTCATTTTTTGGGTGTTGGGTTTTATAAGTTCTTTATATATTTTGAATATTAACCCTTTATCAGATGTCATTTGCAAATATCTTCTCCCATTCTGTAGGTTACCTTTTAGTTTTGTTGATTATTTCTTTCACTGTGCAGAAGCCTTTTATTTTGATGTAGTGCCAAGAGTTTATTTTTCTTTTATTTCCCTTGCCTCAGGAGACATATCTAGAAAAGTGTTGTGATGGCTGATGTCAGGGACATTACTGCCTGTGCTTTCTTCTAGGATTTTTTTTAAATTTAAGTTCAATTAACCAACATATAGTACACCCTTAGTTTTTGATGTAATGTTCTGTGATTCATTAGTTGTGTGTAACACCCAGTTAGGATTTTTTTTTATTGAAGGTTTTATTTTTAAGTAATCTCTACACCTAACATGGGGCTCAACCTCACAACCTTGAGATCACGAGTTGCACGTTCCACTGACGGAGCCAACTAGGTGTCCCTCTTCTAAGATTTTTATAGTTTCAGGTCTCACATTTAGGTGTCTAATCCACTTTGAGTTTATTTTTGTGTATGGTGAAAGAAAGTGGTCCAGTTTCATTCTTTTCCATGTAGCTCTCAAGTTTTCCCAACACCATTTGTTGAAGAGACTGCCTTTTTCCCACTGGATAGTCTCTTCTTGCTTTGTCAAAGGTTGACCATATAATTATGGGCTTATTTCTGGGTTTTCTATTCTGTTCCATTGATGTATGTGTCTCTTTTTGTGCCAGTACCATACTGTTTTGATTACTACAGCTTTGTAAATAATTTAAGTCTGGAATTGTAATACCTTCAGCTTTGCTTTTCATTTTCAAGGTTGCTTTGGCTATTTGGGGTCTTTTGTAGTTCCATGCAAATTTTAGGATTGTTTGTTCTAGCTCTGTGAAAAATGCTATACCATGGTATTTTGATAGGGATTGCATTAAATGTGTAGATTGCCTTGAGTAATTTTAGACATTTTAACAATATTTGTTCTTCCAATCCATTAGCATGGAATGTCTCCATTTCTTTGTGTCATCTTCAGTTTTTATCGTTAATGTTTCACAGAAATTTGTTCTCTTTAAATCTGTTAAAATGTGTTGAACTCAGAAATGAAAATGCTTCTTTTCCATTTATACACTGTATTAAATCATTAAGATATTTCATAGCTAAAAATAAAAATGTAAAGCATATACATGTAGAAACAAGTAACATTTCACCATTATTCAGTATTGGCTTTACATCTCACTTAAATAAAATAATTGGTTCAGTCTTACTCCTCCATTTCCTCCTCCTCCCACCCCTCTAATGATTATTTTGAAGTTTCTGTGCATGTGTGTGTGTATTATTTTCATACATGTTTTTATATTTTTCCTATATGTGTTTATTCATAAAGCATTTATTTTTCACTTAAAATATATAAAGTAGTATCCTGTGTATATCCTTTTGCAACATTTCACATTCAGCATTGCTTTTGAAGTGTGTCCATCTCAGTGAATGTACATCTAGTTTTTTATTTTCCACTGCTCTGTAGAATTTTGTTATATGAATAAACCACTGTCCATTTCCCAAATGGAAGTTATTTCAAAGTTTTTGTTTTCAGAGTTTTCTAATTTCCTACTTAGTGCTGCAATGAATATCATATATACGATTCTTTGTGTACATGTGGGAGAAATTCTCCAAAGGATCACCTAGTTTTGTTTAATTTTTTTTTAAGATTTATTTTATTTATTTATTAGAGAGAGAGCACAAGAGGGGGTACGGTCAGAGGGAGAAGCAGATTCCCTGTCGAGCAGGGAGCCTGATATGGGACTTGATCCCGGGACTCCGGGATCATGATCTGAGCCAAAGGCAGTCGGTTAACCAACTGAGCCACCCAGGCGCCCTAGTTTTGTTTAATTTTTGAATGATATGTGTGCAAAAGCATATAGAAGATGCTTAATATTTATTATGTTAACATTGGATGAACATTCATATTCTAGTTTTTATTAGTATATCTTAATGCAATCATTATTTGAAATGAAGCACACTGTGTATTTGTTTCTGTTAAAACAAATACAGAATATATGAATACTTGAGATCAAACACTAATGTAGGACAGTATGATATAAAATATTAGCAACTTATATAGTGAGTCTTCAAATTCTCTATATTGTCTGGAAAAGTATGATGGCACCCTTAAAACTTGGTTAAACTTTTTTAACTTCTGCAAATAAGAATATTTGTGATAATATTTGGGTCCATGGTGATTTGGATCTATAAAGAGTAAGAAAAAAAACAAAATAGCAAATTGAGAAGTGGGAAATGTGTGTATTGTTTTGTCTTTTATTTAGAGATATAGTTTATTCTTTTAATTATCTCCTTTTTATTTGTGAATGCAGGCATTTTCATTGGCCTGTTTGGAATCATAATCTGTCATCTTATATCAAGATCTTGGTTGCACATCGGAATCATCTGTAAAACTAAAAAAATGTCTAGGAGATTCTCATTCAGTGGTTTAGGGGTGGGAATGGCAGCCTCTGCTTTTAAAAAGTTTCTTCAGATGATTCTGATGTCAGCTCAGATTATAAAGCACTGCTGTAAGCAGAACTAAGGATGAGATTGAGGCAGGAGAGGTTTCCTTTTTGTTGCATTGGGTTATCTTCAGTCTGTTTTCCTGCAGACACTGGAATGGGGCTCTTCCTTCCCCCTCCTCCAAGTCATTCTTAGGTTTTGCTGCCAAGATAGATAGATATACCTGCAAGTCTTATTTTTCCTTAATTGGAAATAGTAGACAGTGCTGATATGGAGTAGATAGTGAAATAGAAGACAGGTCAGTGGGGATTATTAGTATTGAAGTAAATCTGAGGTAAGAAATTGGTAATTTAAAATTATCAGGTTTTCACATACTATATTGGAAGAGTCTGTGCAGACATTTTCATTTTGAGGATAAAAAATTAATGGCATACCTAACTTTTAAGTGTAAGGATGCAGAAGACTGTTCCACATATGTCACTTGCTTCCCCATTCTTAAAGAACTGATAATTTATTTGCAAATCAATAGCAAAATGAAAACAAGCTCTTGAACCCCTATTTTTAGAACTTCTCTTATGGAGTCTCTTCATGTTTTATCCAGTTGTTGTGAGAAATACGGTTTGCATCTGTAAAAGGAAACAGATTAGGATTTGTAGTTCTGGAATTTGCCAAGGTTGTCATGTTTTTAGTAAGTCCATAAAATTGTTAGCCTTTTGTGTCCATAATGTCACTTTTCTAAGAATTATGAGGTATTTAATTTGTAATATGAAAATTGCAAAATGCTGACTAAAGTAAATATCTTTTCTTATGTGTGTGTGTATGTCTGAATAATGGTCACTCCTTTCTCCTAGAAGATGGGCTTCATGGGATTGTGAGCTGCACAGCTTGTGGACAACAGGTCAATCATTTTCAAAAAGATTCCATTTACAGACATCCTTCACTGCAAGTACTTATTTGTAAGGTACGTAATGTTCTTTTTATAATTCATTCTAGAAATATTTGAATGTTTACTACGTGTTAGACATTTGGTTTACAGTGTCAGACTTTTGGTGCATAGTGCTGAAGAAGATGGATGTGGTCTCTGTCTTTGGATGGCTTATATTGTAACGGGGAGGACAGACATACAAAAAGCCCAGTAAGTGCCATGATAGGGGAAGTACTGTGTACTGTGGGAACACACAGGAAGCCTGTGTACTTTGGAGTTAGGTAGGGGGGCTTTATAATGGAGATGATATAAGCTGGTATCTGAGCTATAAATAGGAATTAGCCTGGTGAAGTGGGATTGGCTCAGCATATTCTAAGCAGAGGCAACATGGTATTCAGAGGCTGGTAAGTGAAGCGCAGAGCATGGTGTGTTGGCAAATCTGAAGAGTTTACGTGTGTGCAGATGTATATGTTTTATAACCTTCCATCTTATGTATTCTAATTACCCAAGTCTAAACTCTCCACGTGGGGCAGGGTTTTGACATAAGTTGGTGATGACAGAATTAAAAATGCTTTATATGTGTTGAAGATAGTTTTAACAGTCTGTGTATACTCTTTTATTAGTAATACCTTGGAGTTAATTTTAAATATGAAGGTTATGATTTCCCTAACTCACTACTGCTAAGATTAATTCTGGGTTAGTTTGTTTCCCAACAAAATGCCTCCTTGAAATGCAGGGGCAGACTGGATTTTCCTCAGAGTTCCAGGTCTAGGTCTTTTTTTTTTTAAGATTTTATTTATTAGAGAGAGCACAAGCGGGGAGGAGGATCAGAGAGAGAGAGGGAGAGGCAGACTCCTCGCTGGACAGAGAGCCAGATGTGGGGCTTGATCCCAGGACCCTGAGATCACGACCTGAGCTGAAAGTATACACTTAACTGACTGAGACACCCAGGTGTCCCTTTAGGTCTTTTATTGTATGAGTTTTTGATATAGACCTACTTAAGTGGACTAAATTTACTTTTTCTTTTAGCAATTTGTGTCCCTTTGTTCCTTGAATTCAGTTCAACCAGGAGCCTATTTAGGGGGACATGTTGTGGCTTCTAGTTTTAAAATGGGATAGCTGAATTTCATATTGCTGGATTTATAATGTGCATTTCCTTTCTCTTTTCTAATATATGTAATTGGTTTTTTTCAAGGGCTGGTCTGTTGAGCCTAGCCCATTTTGGTAATCAGTACTTTTCATCACTGGGCATAGAACCTTCCCTTTCTCCAGGCTTAATGAAAATGAATTTAGAGTCATTCAGACTTGGATTTGAATACCAACTTTGCCTGTTAACCTAATTGTATGACTTGAGGAGATTTACTTACGTATTAGCTTTTTCTCTCAAATTGGATATAATACTTCCTATCTTGCATGTTTTGAGATTTAAAGAGAATGTAGCTTAATGTAGGATAATGTTGCATAGCTGTACACATAGCAGCTGTTTATATATGAAGGCTATTAAATACATTAAGTAGCAGCAACATCTAAAACATCTTTATGTAGAGGTTTAGTAGCTCGTTGTATGAAATTAGAAACTTGCTTTACCAAAATCTTTTATAAACTTTATATAAGGAATAGTGGTACTTGATGATATGGAAATCTATTTCAAGGAATTAATTTATTGAGGTATTTCTATGTCTGGAAAATACTAGTATTGGGTAGTGCAGTGGTTTTGCTTTGATTCTGTAAAACACATGCAACACACACACATTCCCTTTACTTTTTTTTAATGACTTAAAAATAAAGTTTTTGTCCTTTATGAATGATATCCATTTTGAATATAAAATTTCTCCTTCCCCTTTTCTTTTAATAGAATTGCTTTAAATATTACATGAGTGATGATATTAGCCGTGACTCTGATGGAATGGATGAACAATGTAGGTAGGTAATAAATCAAGATGAACTAACATTCAGTATTGTCTACTTTTTTGGGGGAAATTCTTACATAGTATGTTATTAGATCCATTTTTTTGTAGTATCATCATTGATGTCTTTTTTTTTTTTAAAGATTTTTTATTTATTTGAGACAGAGAGAATGAGAGAGAGAGAAAGAGAGCACATGAGAGGGGGGAGGGTCAGAGGGAGAAGCAGACTCCCTGCCGAGCAGGGAGCCCAATGCGAGACTCGATCCAGGGACTCCAGGATCATGACCTGAGCCGAAGGCAGTCGCCCAACCAACTGAGCCACCCAGGCGCCCCTCATCATTGATGTCTTTAATGGAAGGTTATTCTTTTCCACAAAACCTTAGGCTTATGTCTGTTTTAAGTTTCTAGTAAAGAATAAGCAGATGACCCAAATTACTGTTAAAATTCCTGGCAGGAAAATTTAAATTGCTTTAATAATGAAAAAATTTAGAGTGACTTTCATTTTGGAATAATATTTTCATCTTTTAATAATTTCAGGTGGTGTGCAGAAGGTGGAAACTTGATTTGTTGCGACTTTTGCCATAATGCCTTCTGCAAGAAATGCATTCTGCGCAACCTTGGTCGAAAGGAGCTCTCTACAATAATGGATGAAAACAACCAGTGGTATTGCTACATTTGTCACCCAGAACCTTTGTTGGACTTGGTCACTGCATGTAATAGTGTATTTGAAAATTTAGAACAGTTGTTGCAACAAAATAAGAAGAAGATAAAAGTTGACAATGAAAAGAGTAACAAAGTATATGACCATACACCCAGATTTTCTCCAAAGAAGAATAGTTCCAATTGTAATGGAGAAGAAAAGAAATTAGATGATTCATGTTCTGGTTCGGTAACCTACTCTTATTCAGCACTAATTGTGCCTAAAGAGATGATTAAGAAGGCAAAAAAACTGATTGAGACCACAACTAACATGAACTCCAGTTATGTTAAGTTTTTGAAGCAGGCAGCAGATAATTCAGAAACCAATTCTGCTACAAAGTTACGCCAGCTTAAGGCTTTTAAATCTGTGTTAGCTGATATCAAAAAAGCTCATCTTGCATTAGAAGAAGATTTGAATTCAGAGATTCGAGCTTTGGATGCTGTAAACAAAGAGAAAAATACCAAAGAGCATAAGGTCATAGATGCTAAGTCTGAAACAAAAGTACGAAAAGGAGAAAAACCCTGTGCTTTAGAAAGAAAAGATGTTTCAAAATCAGAAGCTAAACTGGCAAGAAAGCAGCTGGATAGTGAACACATGGATCAGAGTATTACAGTACAGGAACAAAGAGCAAATAAAAGTGCCAGTGGTGAACATAAGAAATCTGATAAAAAAGAAGAACCTCAGTATGAACCTGCTAACACTTCTGAAGATTTAGACATGGATATTGTTTCTGTTCCTTCCTCAGTTCCAGAAGACATTTTTGAGAATCTTGAGACAGCTATGGAAGTTCAGAGTTCAGCAGATAATCAGGGAGATGGCAATAGTGGAACTGAGCAAGAACTGGAGAGTTCTTCTGTAAAATTAAATATTACTTCAAAAGACAACAGAGGAGGTATTAAGTCAAAAACTACAGCTAAAGTAACAAAAGAATTATATGTTAAACTTACCCCTGTTTCCCTTTCTAATTCTCCAATTAAAGGTGCTGATTGTCAGGAAGTACCACAAGATAAAGATGGCTATAAAAGTTCTGGTCTGAACCCCAAGCCAGAGAACTGTGGACTTGGACAGGAAAAGAATGATAATGAGCATTTGTTTGAAAGTGAAGTTCCATTACTTTCAGAAGAATCTGATCTTCGAAGATCTCCACGTGTAAAGACTACTCCCTTGAGGCGACAGACAGAAACCAATCCTGCAACATCTAATTCAGATGAAGAAAGTAATGAAACAGTTAAGGAGAAACAAAAACTATCAGTTCCAATGAGAAAAAAGGATAAGCGGAATTCTTCTGACAGTGCTATAGATAATCCTAAACCTAATAAATTGCCTAAATCTAAGCAGTCCGAGATTGTGGATCAGAATTCAGATTCTGATGAAATGTTAGCAATCCTCAAAGAGGTGTCCAGGATGAGTCACAGTTCTTCTTCAGATACTGATATTAATGAAACTCATACAAATCATGAGAAGACTTTATATGATTTAAAGACTCAAACAGGGAAAGATGATAAAGGAAAAAGGAAACGAAAAAGTTCTACTTCTGGCTCAGATTTTGATATTAAAAAAGGCAAATCAGCTAAAAGGTCTATAATTTCTAAAAAGAAACGACAAAACCAGTCTGAGTCTTCCAATTATGACTCAGAATTAGAAAAAGAGATAAAGAGCATGAGTAAAATTGGGGCTGCCAGAACAACCAAAAAAAGAGTTCCAAATAAAGAAGATTATGATTCTTCTGAAGAAGAAAAACACAGAAAAAAAGGAATGGATAATCAAGGGCAGAAAAATTTGAAGACTGCACAAGAAGGATCATCTGATGATGCTGAAAGGAAACAAGAGAGAGAGAATTTCTCTTCAGCAGAAGGCACAGTCGATAAAGACAGGACCAACATGGACTTAAGAGATCGAATCTCTAAGAAGCAGCAGTCAGGTGTTTCTTATGATGGTGCTGATAAGCTGCCTTCAGGGAAAGAGGAGAGTTTTAATTCTCCAGAAGACAAAAATGTTTCTGAAACTAAAGAAAAGAGTAAGCATTTGAAAACCAAATCATGTAAGAAAGTACAGAGTGGCTTATCTGACATTGCTGAGAATTTCCCAAAGAGAGAGCAGAGTGATGAATCCTCTGAAGATGATAAAAAGCAGAGCAAAAAGGGAACTGAAGTAAAAGAAAAGAAAACTACAGACTTGAAGAAAAATGTAATTAAGATGGAACAACAGTATGAATCATCATCTGATGGCACTGAGAAATTACCCGAGGGAGAAGAGATTTCTCGTTTTCCTAAAGGCATAAAAGAAAATAAGAATGACACAACTTATGGAGAAAAGAAAAGTAAAAAAATAAAAAATAAAACTTCTAAAAAGAAGGATGACGTGTCTGATAATGCTGAGAAATTACAGGGAAAAAGAGATAGTTGTGATTCTTCAGAAGATAAAAGGAGTAAGAATGGGGCATCCAGTAGAGTGAAGAAAAGATGCAACTTGCCTGAAAAGAGTTCAAGGAAGAGACAGGATTGTTCATCATCTGATACTGAGAAATATTCCATGAAAGAAGATGGTTGTGATTCTTCTGACAAGAGACTGAAAAGAATAGAACTGAGGGAAAGAAGAAATTTAAATTCAAAGAGAAATACCAAGGAAGTACATAGTGGCTCATCATCTTCTGATGGTGAGGAAAGTTCTGAAGACAATAAAAAGCTGAAGAAACAGAGAACTTCAGCTAAAAAGAAGACAGTCAGTGTCAAGGAGAAAATGAGAAACTCCCTAAGAACAAGCACTAAAAGGAAGCAAGCTGACATTACATCGTCATCTTCTTCTGATATAGGAGATGATGATCAGAATTCTGTAGGCGAGGGGAGCAGTGATGAGCAGAAAATTAAGCCTGTGACCGAAAATTTAGTGCTGTCTTCACATACTGGATTTTGTCAATCTTCAGGTATGCAAAAATAAATAAATTCATAATTTATGCTTTTACCCTCTTGAATAACTGCGTTGTTTAATTTTCCCTGAAGCCAGTCAAATGCAAGGTTACTGTTTAGGAAAAGGCTCTTCAAAATTTAAAGATTTACTAAAAAGCCTTCATTTATTTTTATGCCATCATTGGAAGGTATTCCACTATCGTTAGTATTCTGTATCAGATATACCAGGTTTGTTGGGTAGATAACAGAATTTCTTTACCAATGTTTAGTGCTTTTTCTGAAGTAATAATCAGTAGTTTATAAAGGAAAATAAGACCTGTGCCAGTAGTTCGGTAGGTATATATTCACGTAATGGAGATGTGTGCTTGGTGCTAGTATAACATAGTGTGTGGAAGTTTAAACTGCCTTGCCATGCATATGACTTTTTATGTAATCAGTGTGGGGCTCGAACTCACAACCCCAAGATCAAGAGTTGCATGTTCTTCCAACTGAGCCAGCCAGGCATCCCTGCATATGACTTTTTAAATTGGACAGATTAACTTTGTGTCCAGTGAAATTCTCTGAAAACTTTAAATTTACATCATTAAACCCACTGCTGATGCTTGTCAGTTTTTTCTGATCACATGAACAGATGTTTCTGTCTATAATAATAACAAAATAAAAGAAAAATCCAAAAAGTAGATGTATTACCTTGCCCTGGGGAGATAGAGAACTAGGACAATTAGTTGAACAGTGATAACCCCCAAAAGAGTTATAAAAATAATGTTTATCACTGTTGCAGTTCTTAAGAATCAGTAGTATAATACATGTGCATATGTCACTTGCATTGTCTTTTTTTTTAAGTTAGTAAACCTGTCAGTTAACCAGGGACATGTTAAACTTACTCGTATATTCATTCATTCATTTTAAAAATTTATTTATATCCAACTCCAGCTTGCTTGCTTATTTATTTATTTATTTAATTTCTTTAAATTCCAGTATGTGTAACATACAGTGTTAGTTTCAGGTGTATAGTGGCTCAGCAACTATATATTACTCAGTGCTCATCATGATAAGTGTACTCTTAATCCCCTTCACCTATTTCATCCATCCCCTCCTTCCCCTTTGGTAACCATCAGTTTGTTCTCTATAGTTAAGAGTCTGTTATTTTGTGTTTGTCTTTTTTCTTTGTTCATTTGTTTTGACTTATTTTATTTAGCATTATACTCTCATGATCCACCCATGTTGTTGCAAACAGTAAGATTTCATTCTTTTTTATGGCTGAGTAATATTCCACTGTGTGTGTGTGTATACACACACACATATATATGTGTATGTATACACACACACACACACACACATACACCACATCTTTATCCATCTATTGTTGGACACTTGAGTTGCTTCTATAATTTGGCTATTGTAAATAATGCTGCAATAAACTTTAGAGAGGTGCTTATATCTTCATAAATTAGTGTTTTTCTCTTCTTTGGATAAATACTAGTGGAATTACTGGATCATATAGTAATTTTCTTTTTAATTTTTGAGGAATGTTCATACTGTGTTCCACAGTGGCTATACCAGTTTGCATTTTCACCAACAGATTCCTTTTTCTCTACATCCTTAACAACACCTGTTTTTTGAGTTTTTGATTTTAGCCATTCTGACAGGTGTGAGGTGGTATCTCATTGTGGTTTTGATTTGCATTTCCCTGATGATGAGTGATGTTGAGCATCTGTTCATGTGTCTGTTGGCCAGCTTTATGTCTTTGGGAAAATGCCTGTTTATGTCTTTTGCCCATTTTTAATTGGATTATTTGTGGGGTTTTTTGGTGTTGAGTTGTATAAGTTCTTTATATATTTTGGATACTAACCCTTTATTGGATATATTGTTTGCAAGAATCTTTTCCCATTCTATAGGTTGTCTTTTAGTTTTGTTGATTGTTTCCTTTGCTGTGCAGAAGCATTTTATTTTGATGTAGTCCCAGTAGTTCATTTTTGCTTTTGTTTCCCTTGCCTCAGAAGACATATCTATAAAAATGTTGCTATGGTAGATGTCATAGAAATTACTGCCTATGCTCTCTCCTAGGATTTTTATGGTTTTAGGTTTCACATTTAGGTCTTTAATCCATTTTGAGTTTATTTTTGCGTATGGTATAAGAAAGTGGTCCAGTTTCATTCTTTTGCATGTTGCTGTCCAGTTTTCTCAACACCATTTGTTGAAGAGACTGTCTTTTTCCCATTGCATATTTTTGCCTCTGTTGAAAAATTAATTTTGTTGAAAATTGATTAACCATATAATGTTGAATTTAATTCTGGGCTTTCTATCCTGTTCTTTTGATCTATGTGTCTGTTAATTGTGCCAGTACCATACTGTTTTCATTACTATAGCTTTGTAGTATATCTTGAAATCTGGGATTGTGATACTTCAAGTTTTGCTCTTTTTTGAGATTGCTTTGGCTTTCAGAGTGTTTTGTGGTTCCATACAAACGTTAAGATTATTTGTTCCAGGTCTGTGAAAAATGCTGTTGGTATTTTGATAGGGATTTCATTAAATCTGTAGATTGCTCTGGGTAGTAGGGATATTCTAACAGTATTTGTTCTCCCAGTCCATGAGCATGGAATATCTTTCCATTTGTGTCATCTTCAGTTTCTTTCATCAGTGTTTTGTTTTCAAAGTACAGTTCTTTCATGTTCTTGGTTAACTTTATTCCTAAGTATTTTATTATTTTTGGTACAATTGTCAGTGGGACAGTTTTCTTAATTTGTAATTCATTATTAGTGACATTTGTACATCATTATTAGTGTATAGAGATTCAGTGGTTTTCTGTACATTGATTTTGTATCATGTGACCTTACTGAATTCATCTATCAGTTCTAGTAGTTTTTTGGTAGAGTCTTTAGGGTTTTCTATATATGGTATCATGCCATCCACAAGTAATGAAAGTTTTAGTTCTTCCTTACCAATTTGGATGTCTTTTATTTGTTTTTGTTTTCTGATGGCTGTGGTTAGGACTTCCAGTACTATGTTGAATAAAAGTGGTTTGAGTGGACATCCTTGTCTTATTTCTGATGTTAGGGGAAAAGCTGTCAGTGAACTCCATGGTGAACACGGAGTATGACGTTAGCTGTGTGTTTTTCGTAAATGGTCGTTATCGTGTTGTGGTATGTTCCTTCTAAACCTACTTTGAGAGTTTTGATCATGAATGGATTTTATACTTTGTCACATGCTTTTTTTACATCTATTGAAATGATCATATGTTTGTTATCCTTTCTCTTATTGTTACGAGGTATCACATTGGTTGATTTGCAAATATTGAACCACCCTTTCAGCCCAGGAATAAATCCTACCTGATCATGTGAAAGATTTTTTTAAATGTATTGTTGGATTCTGTTTGCTAGTATTTTGTGGAGGATTTTTGCATCTATGTTCTTCAGAGATACTGGCATGTAGTTTTCTTTTTTAGGGATGTCTTTATCTGGTTTTTGTATTAGGGTAATGCCTTGTAGAATGAATTTGGAAGCTTTCATTTGTCTTCCATTTTTTTTGAATAATTTGAGAAGAATTGGGTATTAACTTCTTAAAATATTTAGTAGAATTCACCTGTGAAAGCATGTGGTTCAGGACTTTTGTTTGATAGTTTTTTTTTTTTTTAAGATTTATTTATTTATTTATTTAATTTTATTTTTTTTTTAAGATTTTTTATTTATTTGACAGAGAAACACAGCGAGAGAGGGAACACAAGCAGGGGGAGTGGGAGAGGGAGAAGCAGGCTTCCCGCGGAGCAGGGAGCCCGATGCGGGGCTCGATCCCAGGACCCTGGCATCATGACCTGAGCCGAAGGCAGACGCTCAACCATCTGAGCCACCCAGGCGACCTGATAGGAGTTTTTTGATTACTGATTCAATTTCACTGTTGGCAGTCAACCTGTTCAAATGTTAAATTTCTTTGCGATGGAGTTTTGGGAGGTTAAATGTTTCTAGAAATTTATCCATTTCTTCTCTTTTGTTCAATTTGTTAGCATATAATTTTTCATAATACTTTCTTACAACCCTTTTTATTTCTGTGGTGTCCATTGTTATTTCTCCTCTTTCATTTTTGATTTTGTTTCAGTCCTCTCTCATTTTTTTGATGTGTCTGGATGAAGGTTTATCAGTTTTGTTGATCTTTTCAAAGAACCAGCTTCTGGTTTCATTGATCCATTGGTTTTTTTTTTTTGTTAGTTTGTAATTTATTTATTTATGCTCTGAACTTTATTATTTTTTTCTCCCACAGGTTTTGGGTTTCATTTGTTCTTTTTGTAGCTTCTTTAGGTGTAAGGTTATGTTGTTTGTGGGTTTTTTCTTCTTAGGGTAGGCCTCTAGTGTTATAAACTTCCCTCTTAGAATAGCTTTTGCTGAATGCCAAAGATTTTGGAGCATTGTGTTTCGTTTTCATTTGTCTCCTTGCATTTTTTGATTACTTCTTTGATATCTTGATTGACACATTCATTGTTTAGTAGTGTATATTTAACCTCCATGTATTTGTGTTCTTCCAGATTTTTTCTTGTGGTTGATTACTAGTTTCATAGCATTGTGGTTGGAAAAGATGCATGGTATGACTTTGATCTTTTTGAATTTGTTAAAGTTTGTTTCATGGCCTCACATGTGATCTAGTCTGGAGAATGTTCTGTGTGCACATGCAAAGAATTATGTTCTCTTTTAGGATGGAATGTTCTGAATATATCTGTTAGATCCATCTGTTCCAATATGTCCTTCAAAGCTGCTGTTTTCATGTTGATTTCTGTTTGAATGATATAAGTGGGAAGTTAAAAGTCCTCTGCTATTACCACGTTACTCTTGATTACTTTCTTTGTTTGTTATTAGCTGTTTTATGTTTTTGGGTGCTCTGGTGTTGGGTTCGTAAACATTTATGGTTGTTATACCTTCTTTTTGGGTTGTACTGTTTATGGTTATATGATATCCTTCTTTGTCTCTTGTTTCAGTCTTTTTAAAGTCTGTTTTTTCCCATTACATGAATTGCTACCTGTCTTTCTTTT